GTGATGGAGTGCCCACGATTTCTGGGGGCAAGCTGTTCCACTGGTTAATTGTCCTGTCAGGAAGTTTTTCTTTAATTCCAGGTTGCTTCTCTCTTTGATCAGTTTCCAACCATTGTTTCTTGTCCTGCCCTCTAGTGCTTTGGTGAATAATGTGACCCCCTCTTCTTGGTGGCACCCCTTCAAATACTGGAATATTGCTACCATGTCTCCCCTATTTTTTCTTTTCTTTAGACTAGGAATTGAGTTCCCCTTCAATTCCTTCATCTAAAACTGCATTATAAAATAGTTCCATAAAAGAAGAAACAGATATCTCTAAACTAGGGAATTTAAAACCCTTGTTAACAGCTGTTTGTATAGCAGCAGAACCAACTGTAAATGTTGTGACAATGGCAATATAAATATCCATGGATCCGCTGATTAAGTGCCATTTTATTACAATAAAATGTTTTGATTTAAACAAAGAATAATAAAACTGTAGGATGCTCTACCCAGCATCTACCTAGGATGCTCAAATGAAAACATTTGAAATGCAAACATTGGCAGGCCTGGAGCATAAAGCTTACATAGATAAAGTTCTTATGGGATCAGATAGCAATTTCCATAAAAAAAAACTATTACTGTACATTAAATAGGTCATATTCTGAAATGGTCACTTGCAAACTTCATGACTTGCAGGTCATGAAGAGGAAAAAAATCTACCAACATGTACTGACCTAAATATAAATTTAGCAGAGGATGTGACTCTACAGCAAATGGAAAATAAGACTACTCTTTTGCAATGAACATCTCTGGTCTTTTGAAAGACTGCTGGCTGCTATTTCAAGTCAGAGGACCTTTCTTTGGAACTTGATTTCTAACTCTGGCATCATGTTGCTTGTAGATGAGTTGAATTTAGCGTAGCAGAGTTTCAATATCTGCTAACTCAAGTAACTAATTTATGGAATAACAAGAACTGCCCATTTAGGAAAAAAGTTCTAATATGGGATCAGCCATGCTGCTCTAAAAATAAAAGGACTAATTATGGTGAGTGACATTTGACACATCTTTATTTTCATTGAATGGTGCAGTGGAAGAGGACCAGGAAGGAGAGTATACCTGATGGAATTCAAGCAGAGCCAGTTCCATTATACAATGATAATGTGTGTTCATGTATGGGACATGAAATTCTTTGGGTGTTATGACCAAGATGGTCAAAGCAAGCCTCTAGAGAGTTCTTTATTTCTTTTAATCAGTGTCCCAGCCCTCCAACAACCCATAAAGCTTCATCTTCATGCTATCCTGAAGGCAGCCACCCTCACTCCCCCCCCCCAAAACAGCCCCTATAGTACCATGAAACTCACAGTACCAAGAAAGCATGCTCACAGGGCAAGGTCATGGGTTCCAAGTCCAATCCACCAGGCAGGGTCCAGGCCCAATACAAGGGCAACAAATATATGAACAACTGGTTCTCTGTGTGGATGCCACTTCTGGAAGGTCCATTCTGGTCCTGGACAACAAAAAATTAGCTACCGGTTCTGCTGAAGTGGTGCAAACCAGCTGAATCCCACCACTGAAGGGTAGGCCTCAGGACAAGGAACAGGTCCCAGAAAAGAAGCAGTTCCAAAGCCCCAGTGAAGCAAAGGCCAAACGCAGGCCACAAGAGAAAAGCAATCTTCCAAGCAAGGCAAGGCAAGGCGAGGCAAACAGCAACAGGCAAACACTAACTCCCCCATGGCTTCTCCTTAAGTTGCTCCCCTCCAGATGTTCCTTGTGAGGAGGGGTGGGGCAACCTCCTCCTGAGTAGCCTTGCAGCCCTTCTCTGGGCTTGCCTGTACTCCACTCTCCTTGCCCTTGGATCAGTGGAGCAGGCAACTGTTCCTTGTCAGAGGAGATTGGCTGCCTATCAGCACCACTGCTGGTCATTAGCTGATTCTCCCCTGTGCCTGAGGGGCCCGGGAGAGCATCATCCTCAGCCCCTGCTGTGCATTCCCTGTTGGATGGTCCCAGCACCAACTCTACCTCCTCCTCTAAACTGGCCTCTGACGGGGCCATGACATTGGGATAAGTTCTTCCCTGAAACTGAAATAGAAAGAGACAGGCCAATGATTTGTAGTGCAAAAGACATAATTAGTAGAGAGGAATGCACAGTTGTGTAAGTTTGCAGGTTTGTCTAAGACTTGAAAGAGCAGATTAGGAAAGGGAAATTGTCTCATATGAAATCCAGCGAAGCTTATGCTTCTCTGCAAGTTGAGATGGTAACTCCTTTAAGGTGTTCAAGTCCCAAAACAGTGTCCAAGTCCTGCAAGGTTCATGGATCCTATTTTGGGAAACAGCAGAACTGAAATTCTTGATGCAAAATTCCTTAAAGAGATTTCCATAGTTCATGCTGCGCTATAAGTGAATTGTTGCCTTTGGGTTCTGGATATTTCAAACAATGTGAGGATTTGAAATCAACCAAGCTATGAAGCACAGTGGGTTTTCTGTTGAGGAGAGAGAGAGAGAGAGAGAGAGAGAGAGAGAGAGAGAGAGAGAGAGAGAGAGAGAGAGAGAGAGAGAGACAGGCAGGCACAATGGAATATATAGGGTTAAAAGGACATGAGTTCTAATCCCAAAATTGCCTGCACTGTTGCATTCTGATGATGGGTTAATGAGAGATCTTTACTCCCACAAATTATTTGACAAATATTACTACTGACAGGCAATAGAGTGCTTTCCCCGTGGCCAAACTTGTACATTGCTCTCCATATTATTGGAGGGAAAATACCATACAATCCCAAAAGCTGAGTGAATTTAGTCACAGAGATGAAAGGAAATAGAAATGGTAAACTATTTATTGATAACATCTGCATATATCACACAAGTAACTATGGGTGGCTTACAGAATTAAGGTCAAGAAACCCTTCAAATGTAACCTCCCAGTGCCCAATTATTTTAAACACTCATACTGGCTGAGCTCATCTCCACCCTGGCTCCAATGCCTAGGGGATCAGCCAGGCCTGCAATGCTTTCCAAGTCTTGAGGGTGCGGGAGGGGAATGCTGTTCCACAGGGCAGATGCAGCCATTAAGAAGGTATTCAACAAAATGGCATGGTTCAATAAAAAGGATCTAGAGCGTGCCCTCTCAACTACATCTGTGAGGTGGGCAGAAACAATAGGAGAAAATCAGGCTTGCAAGTAACCTGGCCCTATACCATGAAGGGGCTTTATAGGTGATGACAAGTACCTTGAAGTGCACTCAGAAGCCTACTGGGAGCCAGTGTTGTTACCTGGGTGTAATGAGAAGTACCAAAATTGCCTGCACTGTTGCATTCTGAACCAGCTGCAGCTTCTGAGTGCTCTTCAAGATTAGCCCCATGCAGAACACAATCACAGTAATCCAAACAGGAGGTGGCTAAGGCAAGGTCACACAGTCCAGGAAAAAGATGCTGTTGGCACACAAGACAAAGCCGTGCAAAAGCCCCCCCCCCACTACTCTTCAGCTCCCATCAGCTTTTCAAATAAGAGCTGAGAGTCTAGGTAGGAGGAGCCCCAGATGGTACACCAACTCTGACTGACTGAGGAAGATGGAAAATCCCCCAAACCAGGGGACCCTAAAACCCACAGGAACCATCATAATACTACTTCCTACCCCTAATTCCTTGACTTGGCCCAAAAGGATAACATGATGGTATTGAAGGCCACTGAGAGATCAAGGGGGGCCAGGATGGATACCCTACATATTACCTTGTTATCCATTTTATACAGGACTTCAAAAAGATTAATACAATCATTGCTAGATGTCCCAGGTAGGCTTAGGAATAGAATTGGGTGGTTAGTTTCCATATGTTTGCTCAATCATCACTGATTTTTGAAAAAGTCTGAAAAATAATCTATTATTTATCTTTTGCATCATTGTTTTTTCCTCTCTGCACAGTTGTGTTTTTTACTTTTAAAGTGGTTCTTTGATCATAAATAAAACCGAATAAATGAAAAAAAAGAATGCAGTCAAATTTAGAACAAGCTTATCAAATTCTAAGAACTGCCAAAAGGCAAGCATGCAAATTGTGTGAATTGTCCTTTTGCATTTCCCGTGACCTAACACACACCGATTGTGACTAGTGGCTTATTTTTACTAAAACCTTTATCTGGGCATATTTATTTTTTTAGTCAGGGCGGAGTAGATTTTTTATATCATTCTGATGGAGAAACATTGTTAGAACAGTCAAATTATTTTGAATTTTGAAAATCAATTTACTGCTCTGACATTCTACCTAGAACTGAGATTCTAGATTCTGAGAACTAATTTAGAAACCTAAGACTGTGAAGAGATCTGAGAAAGAATGTTATTGTACAAAAGAAAAAATCAATATGTGATACTTCCACTGGTGTGATCCTGTGTGCCTGATGATATCAAAAGGAATGAAAGTCCTTAATGTAAAATATGTAGGAGAACAGGGATTCTCAGACCAGCTCAATTTCTTCTACTACTGTGTGTGATGTCATGATTCCAAAATAGTCAGAACTAATTTCTATTAGTTAACATTGAGTGATGTAATTGGCGGTATTATTATCACATTATAATGATAATGATTGGGTATTACATTATTGGGAGCCTTCTGCACTGGAATCTGAAACCCTTTTCTCTATGGAAGTAGCTATTTCTACAAATGTAGGGCTGCTAGCTTCTCCGGCTTCATAGAACTTTTTAAAAAAATACCGTAGTAATATGCAATTTCCCATCTTGTTGTTCCAGAAAGTTACACAGACTCTAAATATGTTTGCATGATCTATCTTATGCATATTAATTATATTACGCTTCTCCTCTGCAGAAGGGAAACCTGCCCACGACTGAAGTGTAATTAATGATGCAAAGCTTTTTGGAAGAGTGTGATTGTTTTCCCTTATTGCCATGTGTTTTTGTTCTGACCCTCTTTGTACATAATATGAGTGTGCAATTGTTTTTACTCTGCTAACCTGGTTCCTGTCTCTGGTTTTTTGGGTGTTGCTGTTTGTGCCGTGGCCATATGTTCACTTGCATGCAGTTGAGGAAAGGCCCTCCTGTGCCACCACCTCCAAAACTCACTCCATCCAAGGAGATGAAGCAGGAGAACATCATCAACCTGTTTGATGACAATTTTGTCCCAGAGATCAGTGTGACAACCCCCTCACAGGTTAGCTTCTCCTTCTTCCCTTCCCTCTCTTGACCTCTCTTCTATTGTTTCCCCTCCACTGTTCCCCTCTTTTCCCTACTAGAGGTGTCAGGCCAAGAAAATTGTTCAGAGGGTAAACAATCAAAGGGGTTTGAATTGGGCCAAAGGGATAGTGAATCGGAACCCCTAAACATTGGTGGGATCTTGATTGGAAATAGAACAGGGAAGAAAATATATTATAAACAGAGTACCTGCTTTTTTCCTTGGCATCCTTCAGTAGGATTTCCAAACTAAATAGGAGAAATGTGTGGGGTAGGGGAGGAGGAGTGGACTGCAAAACACATAGAAATCAAGACAACAGATTTTTAAAACACATTCACATCAAATGATCCTAGCACTTGAGCCACTCTTTAAATAGAAATTCTCACACAATGGGTTGGAACCCCCAGGTGGCTGTGGACAACTTGAGCACATGTCTTCTTTTTAATCTGACACAATTTGTCCAGACTAAGTCAGAGCACTGTCAAAACTCAATCTGGACTTTGCTCTTTGTTTTGTCTGCATGAATTTGCAGTGGACAGTTACAAGATGCCAATGGTTGATTAATTAAAATATAATTGTGCTGTATTTATTTTTTTTCCCCAATGGAAATCATTAGTTTTATTTATGGTGAGCTTTGGTCCCACAATATTCGAAAATTCGTGACACAAATGAAGTTCTTGACATTTAAGTCTCCCTTATCCAAAAGAATGGAGTTGAATAGTGTGAATTGGAGTGCCAAACATGGGCTTCCCACCTGCTTGATTTCCTTTAAAAGGCAGTACCGGTGAGATCATTTTGTGCTGTTATTTTTCTCGGCTAATACATTTTTTTCAGCTAATACTTGGGCAGGACAGTGCCTTTTTAAGAGCTTGTGCAAGAGTAATCTGAAGTTTCATTGTGAGCCTTTCTTGTTAATTCAGAACAAGCATGGGCAATTGTTCTTGGCAATTATTTTACATCATAAATGTTCTCTCTGCCAATGGTTTTAAGATCTTGGGATTATACTGAGAGAGGTCATTCCCTAGCCCAATGATTTGGGTTTAATTATTTTTACAAATGACTAGCATTTACCAGCCCTTCAGAATCTCAAGACCTCCCAAGCTAATCTCTAAAATCAAATTTGCTAAGGGATTTACCTGACCAATAGGTGAACCTTTTTTTGATGACTCAACTTTAGATATTATGATGAGATTAAAAAAGCAGCCTGACCAGTTTTCTGGCCTCATTCTCACAACTTTTGTCAACATCATCATTATCATCATTGTGATAAATGCTCTTTTATAAAAAATATTCATAAAAAACAATCAATGGCACCTCTAGAATGTATGTTTCCTGACTCCATTCTTCCTTCCCTACCTCAGCATGGTGGCCTGCGGCTTTTACCTCTTCCTCCAGTTCGACGACTGAAACTTTGCGTGAAAGGCCTGAATTTGGGAGAAAAGGCAAGTGTAGGCCTCAGGTTGCCAATGTGAGGGAACACCCCACAGAGGCAGATGGACACTGCACGTAGTGTTCAGTAGTTTGGTGGATCAGAATTTCCTTTTCACTCTGGGATAGAAAGTGAGATACAAAATGATTATTACCAAGTTTTCAATCTCTTTTTTTTGTAAAACTTCAATTCTCAGTTAGTACTAGACAAAGAGTAATATGGAATCATCCTGACATGTGCTAACACTGGCAGTGAGTGTCAGACTCAACTGGAAACCCATAGAAGAAAGGAAAAATGTCCAGTTCATTATGTTAACATATTTAACATTTGTGTTTCTCTCTATAGACTGAAGTATTACACTTGGGATATTGGTTTATTGTTTAAATAAAATTTAGGCCTTGCAGAAGCTTAGAAGATTCTGTTCTCTATGTAAAAAGCTCCCATTTTGAACTGCTGCAAGCATAGTAGGCAAAAGTTTTAGATATTGTGTCTGTCTCTCTTTTTTCTCTTGTAGTCCAAAGAGCTTTTGAAGTTATGGGGATTTGGAATGGGGAAAAGACATGAGAAAAAAAATAAGACATCTTCTGGGTTGCTATTTTTCCAGTCCCTAAAGTATATGCAGATGTATAAAGATTCTAGCCCTTAAAAACTCCCATATATAGTTGGAGTAAACATGTCCTATCAAGTGTTGTTCTCAGTGACAGACAGAAGACAAATTTAACTCACAAGCAAGCAATGCTGTTTTATTTTTTGAGGCTAAAACAAATAAGATAATTTGAACTTTATGGGACTTTTTTTTTGACAGAATTGCTTCCATTCAGGATTTCCAATGGTAAAATTTGTCTATGCTTTAATGTTTGAGAAAGCCGTAGGCCACTGATCAGTCTTTCCATCCTTGTCTGCTCCTATCCTTTCCCTGTAGCATGCCTCAAGCATTTTTATGCCATGTTTTGTATTGTATGTATTTGCATAAAAACCCTTGCTTAAACAGAGCATTCTGACTGGGACAGGTTCAGAATGGAGATATCTTTAGAAAGCAACTTGAATTTTTAGTAGATAAGGGGTGGGGAGTGATAGGTGTGGACACATTTCTATTTTTAGTGGGGTCAATTATTTAGGAAGATAGAGAAAACTGTCAAGGATGAAGACTCTTCAACATCTGGTGCAAGTGACAGGTAAGATTCCAGCATGGCTATGATCTCATTTTATAACTTTATTTCATGTACACAAAGCTTAAAAACTGGACCTTATTTCCAAAGAAACTGTTGTCAGAACCCTTTAGGTGGAAAATATGGGTTAACTATGAATGTTTAATGTTTATATTGTGGAGGTGAAGGAACAGGAAACATCTTAGCTGAATTAATCGCTGGATTTTCTTCTTTTTATAAAGAAAGTAAAAATTAAGAAATTACAGTAATATGCTATATAATCATCTAGACAATTTTTGCATGAAATATGCATATATATTATCAGATTGCATTAGTTGAAAAGTACCAGATACCCATTAACTGATATATTTTTGTTTTCAGTTACTTGAATAGTAGAGATTTGGTGTTGACAATTGTTTTGTATTATCCAGTAAAAATTAGGAAATGATTTAGGGTTTTTTAAAATTACATTAAGCAGTATTATGAAAATGTTGTTTAATATTATCACTTGATAAGATTATATAATCTGCTTAATAATAAGGTGATGCTGGCATTTCTGTCTTGCTTGGATGGAATATATCCTGAATCTTTATGGTATTCTGTAATTTATTATTATTATTAAAAATAAGAGCCCAGTAAGCAAACTGTCTTAATATGATAGAATAGTAGACCAATCACTCAGATACAGAATAACAGAGTTGGAAGGGACCTTGAAGGTCTTCTAGTCCAACCCCCTATACCATTTGGAAGCCCTATACCATTTCAGATAAATAAATTACCAGAAATAGATTTTAAAGAAAGAAAAAGATGGTGGCACAGAAACATTGTGAGACCAAATTAAAGATTTTCACAGAAAGTGCTATCCAATCATTTTTTTAAGGTAACCAAAAATGTGGTATCGATACAACAGTTGTGCTGGAAATTGTAGGTCCACTGTAGGGTTTGAAGCGGTGAAGCCTGAGAGTCATAGAGTCCTTGTTTGGATGTATGGAACTTGAAACTGATCTTTTAATAGACTGCCTAGGACAGTGGCATAACAAGTTCAGTGCATGAGCTTTGTAAAAAGTTAATATTTGAATTTTATTATCTACTATTTGCAGAAGTGTTAAGCACATTATAGCCAATCAACATATATGAACATACATTTAATATATAACCTTTTGCACCTTCAGTTTGCAGATACCATCTTCCGCATACCATCCATCTTTTTTAACTGTCTAACCAGCAATACTGATTTTTTCTTTTAATGCTGCCAAGTTTGATGCCCCTGGGTCCTTTCAGGAGGGAGCCAGCCTATTGGATCTGGATTTTGATCCCATTAAACCAGATAACAACCTTGTAGGGAAGTCGCCCACACCTGCTACTCAGGTTGGTTTACCCATTGTCATTCCTTAGCTCCATGATCAGGCATTAAAAACTTGATGAGTTCTTATGGGGAGAATTGTATGGTGTGACAGATGAACTCTTGGTGATTAAAACACATGCTTGAGTCTTGCATATATCTTGTTGATCAGCAGTAATATTTGGTGTTTATTTAATGTATTTAAGAGCTTCATATGCATTATTTCTTAGAATATTCCTACCTTGTATTACAGCCAGAGAAAGAAGTTGGAGAGAGGGATAATGGTTTGTCTTTAGCCAAGTTGCAATATTAGAGTTTTGGCTAAGTCTGAAATAGTAGAGATTTGGTGTTGGCAATTTTTTTTATTATTATTCAGTAGATTCAATTTTTTGAATGACATTAAGCAATATTACTCGCTCTGGGAACTTGTAGCAAAATCTTGGGATAACGGATACAACATTACCATGGCTATTTTCATACCCAGCGTTCCCTGTTCTCTGATAGCTTCTACTGACAGAATTGGGCTCAGCTGGGAACCCTGTTATCAATGTTACATTACCAGAAAGCCTTAAAGTTAGGTCTTCTATGAGCTTGGTGGAGACAGACAGCAGAACTAATTTTGTTTTACTAGATACTGATCCACCGGTGGGCAATGAAACTCTGGGAAAAATAAAATAGAATGACACATTCCTTCTGCTAAGCCCCATACAATATGGCAAGACACTAAGTAAGAGAGTACCTCCACCTTATTGCTCCTACCTTCTCCCAGTTACAGTTTATTCTGTGGATGCGTGTCACATTCAATATATAGCTCTGAATGAGTTAGATAACAGTTCTTGGCTGTATATATTTAGTGATACTATGTAAAAGAATTGCATAAATTCCCCAAACAGGAGAATTAAGGTAGGTAAATATACGTGTCCCAGGATAATGTTGCAGTATTCAATCTGGGTCAGTCATCGGGACCAGAGATTTTTGTCTTCCGAGCTTTCAGACTTCTGCCGGAGTCCATCCTCAGGGATGTGTCAGAGGGGTTGAGGATGGGCTCCAGCACAAATCTGAAAGCTTAGGAGACAAAAGTTCTGGTTCCGGTAACCAACCCAGATTGGATACTGCAGAACTAAGGTAGTCTATGATCCTTAGATAGCAATCATTCACAAGTATGATTGTAATAAATGGTAATAAAAATATTTTCTGACCAATGCAGGCATTTATGACATGAAAGTGATTAAGATCTGGTCAGTTTTAGACATCGGCTGTGAGGCTAAGGGTTCTAATGGACTAATTAAATGTCACAAAGCTGAGCTTGTTAACTTGGGCTTTGCACTTTTTTGCCACATACTTGCTGCCAAGAAAAACAGTTCAGGAAGTGAGCTTGTTTAAGCAATCCCTCTGTCCTGGAAGGAGGGAAAGCGAAGAAAAAAGAGTCAAGCACAGGGCACTATCTGAATGAGAGAGCAGCAGCCAGTGATCTTTGTAGTGTTTCTGTCTCACACATCTCAGTCACATTTCACTGGAACCAATTGCAGTCACTAAAAGAAGACTACTGTATAACTGTCATAACTACTGTATCAACAGATAATTGAAATATTGTCCAGATTGCTTTATGCAATAAGCTCTATAAAGCATGTTCCCATCACTCATGGTGAATGGTGATTAATAATCAGGCATTCCATAGACTATTATTAGTTAGATGCCATTGAGTTAGATGCTCATGGTGACTGCATAGGCAAACACTCTTCATTTTGTACAGTATTTAATTGTAACTCAGATTTCTTTGAAGGACACTTCTTTGATCCCATCCATTCATCTTTATCTAGCATCTTCCCCCTTTTGAGTACTGAGTTATTTAAAGAATTCAACTACTGAAATTGATTGATCCTGGGCCAATCAACTGACCACATAGACTCATTATCTGCAGGAGGATCTGTTCCTAACTTGGTCCTTCAAGTCTTAACTACTGAAATGGACCATGCAAAATTATAAAACCACATTACCTAGTTTCAGTGTATGACGTTACTAAACATTTTGTGTCCATTTGGTATTTTTGCACTTTTTATGTTGTTTGAAATAATGAAGACTTAATGCTTTTTTCCCATTGCTTTTTGCTATGCTTAGTCTTTGCCTTGGGATTTATGGGAGGTAAGATTTCTGTTTATACAACTTTCACTGGAAAATTATGATGTAACACTTGGTGTTTGTAAATGTTACTTTGCACCATTATTATGCAAAGACTGTTATATGTATCTTGAGCCTCTATTCTCCTTGAAGATACAGCGATCTAGTCGCTTGGTCAGATCCTCCTACATTAGAAACCTCTGGTAAATTTAACAGTGTAAGGGACAGCATTATTTTTATTGTTTTCATATTTTAGATAGAAAATATCTTCCTATTGTGAGCAGTGGCTGGTCAAAATTTCCTTTTATGCTGGGAACATGGCAGAGAGGTGGGGGAAGCCTTAGGGTTTTCTGATGTCATCTCTTCTCCCACATTCTCATTTTGGCCATTTTGATCTCAGATATTCCAGCTGTTGCTTTGGAAGTTGGCAGGGATGATAGAAAGTGGAATATTTGAAGAGATCTCCCTTGTATTCTGGAGACCATTCACAAAGCATCCCATAGGCATAGAATTGCTTTTAAGAGGCATGGAATTGCTTCTTAAAAATAAATAGGTTTGCAGTTTGCCAAATTAATATAGATAGCTTTATGATACATTGAAGAAACTAACAGCAGAAATACGAACTAATGAACTAACAGCAGAAATACCATATTTCACAAAATGTATCCTAAAATGAAGATAATCACTTAATTTTAGAGATAGATAGATAGATAGATAGATAGATAGATAGATAGATAGATTCCATTCAATCTTGTCTGATTCTTGGAGACTGCCTGGACTAGTCCCTTATGTTTTCTTGGCAAAGTTGCTGAAGTGATTTGCCATTGCCTCCTTCCTAAGGCTGAGAGAAAGTTTGTGGCCCAAGGCCACGGAGCTGGCTTTGTATCTAAGACAGGACTAGAACTTACGGTCTCCCAGTTTCTAACTGGATGCCTTAATAAGTATATCAAACTGGCTCTCCAATGATAAAATTCTTTGGTTTAAAAAAATAATATAGTTTTCTTTGTTGGCTTAGGTTGCGTGTGGTAGTGTCTCAACAGTTCTAGTTTCATGTCATGGCACTTTGTGATATCTATTGCTGTTCCTAAGTTTGTGTTGAAATGAAGTTGACAGTGATATAATATTAAGTGCTATCAAATCTTTAATCTTGTTAATATATTTGGGATTTTTAGAATCAGTACTTATCAACTACTAATATTTTACTTATTTAAGCTCTTGTATTTTTAAAAGCCTTGTTCTGATTTCCTTCATTTGTAATGTTTAATTCTAGCTATTGTTTTCTGACATAATTATAACGGGATCGTCAGGTTATGCAGGTATATAATAATAGCTTTAAATTAACAGTGGGATTGCAATTATTATTGGACCAGTGATTGCTATGTATAGCTCACTTAATTTCAAGTAGTGTTTTTATTATTCTATTTAAACTGTGGCCTATTAGTTACTAATAATTTTTCTCCATTAAACAATTCTAGATCCAGTTTTAATCACACACAATTCTAAACCATCTTCAATGGGAATATAAAATTGTCACTCTAACATGTATTCTACTAATGGATTTTCCATACTTTCTCCTAGAAAAAAAATATTTATGATGAGTAGATAATGAGTTAAAATGCAAGCTCTCAATTCTAGATATTGCAGGAAAAATGGAAAGTCATTTCAGAATTTGTCCTTCAGATCTATTTAGGATAAAACAACAGTTTACAGTAACATCCAGGATTTTCTTTACAGCTGATGTGCAGACTCCAGTGTTTCTTTATTCAAATTTAATTCTTTTTATTTCAGCAAGATTTTGATTTTAAGGAGAAAGGACAATTAAAAATAAAAGCCAAGCGTCCTTTTAAAATTGAATCAGCAATATAATGAGAGTTCACATAAAATGACAGAAATACTTAGAGAAGAGAATATTTGTAGTTTTCAACCAAGCACAGAGAGCACCAAGAACCCCAGAGAAATACTTATTTTAGGAAGTTTGGAGGGGATTGGGCAAGAAGGTGCTGCTTTTTTCTGGCTGCTGAGCCAATATTGTGAAATAGATTGGGTTACCTCAGTCTCTGTTGGTTTCCTGCAAATTTTTAAAGAACTAGCTTTTTTGGAGAGTCTCCCTCTGATTTGAGTAGTTATTGCCATCTGTTATTCTCTTTCTATTTTTGTAGGGCTGTTGTATTTTTAATTTTTATATGGGATTTATTTTATGTTATATTTTTTGTATGAGTCATTGAGTAATTTTTATTTGTGGTGACATACAGCTGTGTTTAATAAATAAATTAAATATAGCACTGCTATATTATTAACAATGTATACCTTCCCCAATCCGTTCCCCCCTCCCCTCTTCAAATAATTTCACACTTTTGCTTGGTTGCATACATAATATTGCACCGTCTTTTCCCTATTAATTATTCAAAATATAAAAAAAATGACTCTTATCAGCCCAACACATCTAATTGCCCTGGCCTGGAACATTTTCAGTGTCTGTCTTCTCACAGTTTTTTTTATTATTGTATCTTCTTGTACCCATTACTTTATCTCCCTGCTGCAAATTTCTGTTTCTCTCTTTTCCTCAAATTTTATATGTCTGCCTGAAAAAAACCCCTCCCTTCAGCAGTGTGCAATTTATGGATTACTTTCCTGCTGATAATTTTAGCAATAGTGCATTTGTGGTAGACTGGCCAATTAGCCCACCCAAGTTATCAACCAAGTAAATAAAAAAGGTTAAACTAATAAATGTTCAAAAATGTCCTTCTTGATCGCTGTGCTCCTTACCAGGAGTTACCTAGTTGCTAGTTTTCTTTGGCCTTCTTTACTTAGCACACTTCATTTCCAATGAAATTATAATTTAATTCCTATTAAATCAAAAAGGTGGGATCTACTGAAATTAAAATTCTAATTTGATTTGGAACATCTTTTAATGGTTTATAACCATCTTTAGGGTGGATATCCTTTTATAATAACCCGCCTTTTGAATTTTAAAAATTATACCCGGAACATTTGAAAAATACCAACTGTGTCCATAAAAATGCCCATTAATTACAAATATAAATTGTACAAAGATTTATATACCACTCTTCTTCAGACAACTCAGGGTAGCTTCAGCAAATGCTGATTTGTTTAAGAAAATAATTACAAAAACGTGTCCTCCAAATTCACCAGAACTCAACTCAGATTTGAAGGAGAACTTTTTATTTGACGTTTTCATTTCATTTATTGTATACTAAGAAAAAAAAATCCAAAATCCATAGTTGGGTGATATCTTTTCTTTAATTTGGGATTTTATAATTTTTTTCCCTTGTGACTATAACATAACCTTGTGTTATAACTTATAGTAATATATAGCATAGTACTTAATTTGGTATAGTAAAGTAATCTATACTAATATATATTATAGAATATCCCTTTGTCCTGATTTCAGAAATTATATATTTTTTTAGAAATATTCAAGCTTTTCAATACATTAATAATTTATGTTTTGTTTGGAGGTTGGAAGGTTGTTTGAGAAAAAAATATTATTAAATGGAGGAGATTATTAAAAGTATATTAAAAATGGACAGAGTAGATTTTTTCTTCTCATAATATTAAAACTGTGACTCAAGATTCTGGACCACCATCCACCACCAACAAAAACTACATTATTTTCTGCAACAAAAATATCACCTTTTGTTAATAGGTTCAAAAAAGAGATGGGACAAATTTGTGGAGGCCATCTTAATGGGCTTCTCATAATGGTGGTTTGAAAATTGCAGTCACGGATAGGTTTATTGATTTCAGGTAGTCCTTGACTTACAACATGTCATTTAATGATGGTTCAAAGTTATGACAATCTTGGACAAAGTGACTTATGATTTGTTCTTGTGCTCACAACCATCATACCACCCACACAGTCACATGATCACAGTTTGGGTGCTTGGCAGCTGGCTCACATTTATGACATCCTGTGATCATGTGATTTCCAGCAAAAACATCCACTGGGGAAGCTGGATTCACATAACAATCATGATGATTTGCTTAACAGCTGCTTTTAAAAAGTAACAGGTTCTGTTGTTGAAAGAAAGCTTATTGCCAAATTAGAATTAATCATAGTTTATTTTTAGCTCTCCAGTCTCTTTGTCAGCCACATTTACATATTTTATTTAAGAGAACAGCAAAGAACTAGAACAGATATGGTAGGTTTCATGTGAATAGAAACAATAACAATAATGGGGGGTGGAATCTGGAATTTTGCAGTTATATGGAAATCAGAACATCCTGGCTATGCTCTTGAAGAGAACCCTAGCTTTGGAAAGGTATAGAGGTGATTGCCAAGAATATTTTTAGATGGGAAAGTGTATGACTTTTTTTTTTGGTTCGAGCAAAGTTGAAGCAATCTTAACTGGCTAGCTTTCATACAGATAGTCAAATCATGCTTCTGTTTTCTCTTCCACAAGAAGAGAAACAGTACAGGAGGAACTAAAGAGACAAACTTCCTTTAAATCTCACATTTAGAAATATCAGAGGACAGATGGGCTTGACCCAGACAAGGCAACTGTTACAATTTATTAAAAAGCTAGCATTTTAGCCTAAGAACGATTTGCTTCTCGTGAAGGTGATGCAACATCGACTTGCCAGTACAGTACACAAATTGGAAATGTACTGATACCGAACATCTTGCAGCATGGACATGGCTGTTCATCGAAGAGATCAAGCAATTCAGTGTTGGCCTTCAGAAACCGATAGTTCAGACAAGCCCTAAAAACAGAGCAGGTCATGGCATTTCTCTGCAAAGGCATGGGATTGGTTAGCCACTTTGAGATCCCGGAGTTTAACTGCTTTTGTGTTGTAGCCTACAGAAGCCACTCCTGGTGAGGCTGAGGGAGCTGGCAAAGAAGGAACAGCTGGAGCTGAAGCAGCTGCTAAACCCGAAACTGATTCAGGATCTGCCTCAGTAAGACAGTAGGCAAGGGAGAGGGAGGAGGGCCTCATTTTCCCCTAACAATTGTTCACATTTAATATGAGCAGATGTGAACCCATTGAAGATAAAATGTTTAGCATTTCTGAGCAGTGGATTAATCCCCAATTGGAGACTCTGTTGATTTGGACTATAGAACAAAGGCCATTATTCATTCAGACATGGTCTTCTATTTGATGCAAACAGCTAAACATATGCCTGAAACGTTTGTAATTCATCTGAATTAGGAGGAATATATCTGCTTCAGTCCCAATTAATCATCTTGGAACTTTTATGTGTATCCAACATCTGGGACCTTAAAAAAGAAAAGTTTTCCATTGCCGAGGCTAACTTTCATTTGTTTAGCATGTCTAGTTACAATCTGATACCCTTACAAAATCACAAAGAGCTGTTACTGCTGGGAATGAGAATGATTCTGAGGACACAGAAGTTAGATATATCCCTGGTAAACATCAAAATCAATTTTAGATTTTTTTTAAAAAAGGGAGGAAATTGATCAGAATTTCTGCCTCTTACTTACAAACCTAAATGTCTTGTAGCAGAATCTGTTATTTACTCCATTAATCTTTATGCACACCAATTTCCCTCTACAATTTATTGCCTTCTGTGGTTTCCTTTCCATTTTTTCCTAAGTCATTCTCTTTACCTCAGCCACACCTCAACCTAAATCCTAACTTCCACAAAATACTGATACCTAATGACTATTTGAATAACGGATTCATGTTCAGAAATGGCTACAGGGAGGGTTTGCACAGGATCCTCTGTGTACTTTTCTCAACTGGGCCTAACTTTGGTACCTTTAACCCTGTTTTATTTCCCTCAGAGTTCTCTGCCAACTGTAGTTGTGGAGACTTTCCCTGCCACAGTTAATGGAACCGATGAGAATAGAGCCGTCTCTGAGAGGTCTGACATGCCACCAGGGTTTCTCTTCAAGGTAAGTTTCTATGGTAAAGGTGTACATGTAGCCATTTCATTCTATGTGTTTTGAATAACCGAAGCTGTAAAATGGAGAATGACTCAGCTCTTCATAAGAACTCAGTGCACAATTTTAAATGTGTTTAGTCTGGATACAGGAAACTCACCAGTGTTAGATGTAATGCTGATAAATTATTGTCTGTTGAAAGAAAAAAGTAGATAAATAGAGTAGACTATTTTGGATGTAATCTGTTACTGAATTTCTAAAAACTAATACATTTAATTATTATATATATATATAAATTTATATGCCACCCATCTTACTGTTAAGTAACTCTGACTAAGCCTTGTTTTTTTTAGAAAGAAACAATAGAAAAACTATCCCAAAATAACTGCAAAAAAACCTGAAACTATAAAAACAAACTATAAAAACATAATCTACAGGCCAGCACCAACTCATTTTCCTAAAAGTAACAATCATCATGTATCATAGAGCTTTCCTGAATATGCAACCGTTTAAGGAGAAATGGAGCAGCAGATAGACTGCAGTGTAGTATGTAAGGGTTCAGCTGCATTATATATTTATAGATATGAAACAAGAACTCCCCCAATCCTGACTGTGGAACCATTATTCTTGTGCAGGTACAAGCCATGCATGATTATGCTGCTACTGACAGTGATGAATTACAGCTAAAGTCTGGAGATGTGGTCTTGGTGGTTCCATTTGAAAATCCAGATGAGCAGGTATGGTGATAATGTAGCAGGTGTGTTTCATAACTAACATGGTTTGATAAATTCCACATTGTTCCAGTTTCAAGAAGACATCAGTTCAAATCTGCATTCTGCAATGAATGTGTGACCTTCAATAAGTCAAAACATTTCAGTTTAACATCTTGATAGACAAGATAATGAATACATCTCTACTTCTTCAAATAGTAGATTATCTCTTTAATACGACATTTTCCTATGTAGAGCTAAATATTGCATGAGAAGGATGTGGTTTAATAGAGATCTACAGTATAAGGAGATGAATATTGATTATTGAATTTCCTAATCCACTGCAATCTCCAACTAAGGATGTTATCCTTGTTTAGTGTTACTTTTAAAATTGTACTATATATAACGATTAGTCTATAGGTTTATTTAATTAGATCAGGAGAAGGAAATCAGAATATTACAGTGGACAGTCTCATTGCCCTTGCAACCAGTAAAATATTTTCTAAGTATTAAAAAAGGACCTCTTAATTACCTCAAGGTAATTGAACTTACCTAAAAAAGGAGAGTTAACATACCCATTATGATACTCTCTGCTGTTTTCTGATTTCATATTTGCTTTTCATCACGCTCTCTCTGCCCTGCAAATGTCTAAAAGCTGTGATGGTAGTAGCTATCAGTACAATATTTTTTTCTCTGTCTCGTTTGTGCTTTTTTTGAATGCCAGTAGGTGGCACTGTGTTCTCATAGATCTTTATTGCATTCATTCATTTCTGTAAAGAGAGTGAGCTGAAGATGGAAATGTAACTTAGCCAATTGTACATTTTGTTTGCATGTTATTTCCTATGTCTCATTGTAGACATTAGTGTTGTATCAAACATTAAAAAGGATGCCTCCTCTGTAGAAGGCTTCATCTGGATTTGGAGCCTTTCCTCCAGTTCTCTGAGTGGCTGTGCACATAGGGTCACTTCTGTTTGCTTTCTGTAGGAGAAAAGCAGGCTGAGCTGGAAAGCAAGGTTAAATGTGTCATTGGTTTGGAATCATTGCGTTGCCGCAAGAAACTTAAATCCAGCCTCCCATGAATTCTGTTGATCCTAATCTAGTGCCAATTTAATTTTGACCATTAGTAGATTAGATTCTTTTATTAGAGGTAGCTCTTCTGGGCTTTGAACTTGACAAATGCTCCAGGTTACTTGCACCTGGCACATTCTCAGCAACAATGTTGATGTTGTGCATCAACAGGGAAAGCCTTTGAAGCAGTTGAGACTTATGAAAGATGCAGCTATATTAATGAGCCTTGCTTAGCTTATTTCAAGGTGAAAGTCTTTATAAATTTATTATGGTCATAGGTCAGGTCTGTAAGATAGATAAGCATATTCAGTAAAAGCATAGACACCAATAATTATGTTAAAAGGAGTAAAGTATAGAAATAAGTGCCAAATAAATGCTAAATAAAACTTTACCATGGATTCATAATCATAAATCACATAATCATACCAATCAGCAATAGGAGAACATAGGTCTTGAAGACCATTGAGTGTTCCTTTGAATGCTTTGCCCAACTCTAGAAGTGTCAAGCACTGGAAATCAGAAATCCAGGCAGTTCAAAAGAATATAGATTTATTGTACAAGAATCTAAATTACTAATAGTCAAAGTAAGTAGTAGTAGATAAGAGTGAACAGAATTCAAGGTGGGCTGAACTTAGATCTCTTGTGGGTGTGAAGACACTCAAGATTGATGATGCACTTGACCCCTTCCTTTGGCTCAGCCTAGTCACCTCCTATAAGTAGCCACGTTCTTCCAACTTGTCTTTGGTTGGGGAAAGAATTTTGCCCAATGGGGGATATTTTCATTCTCCATAATAGTGTACTTTAAGTTCCATTATGGTGTTGTTTCCTGTAGCTCTGGTTTTCCTTCCATCCTTGAGACAGGAAGGCCCTAGAAAATTGCGATCTTTTTGCCATGCCTCAAAAACAGAAATAATAAAGTCGCTGGTACAGTGTGTGTGTGTGTGTGGGGGGAGGGTGGAAGTATTTTCTGCTGCTGGCAAGAAATAAAGAACAGCAAAGGGAACTCTTTCTCCTCTCCACCCTCTCCTCCCCCAGTGTGGATCCCTTGGTACCTGGTCTTAGGTACATGCTTGCTGGAGGGGAATGAGGTGAAGAGATGTCGGTTCTTCCTGTCTCGGTTGATTTCCTCTTCTCTCTCCCCCTCCAGCATGTATTACTCATCATAATGATCATTCCCCTTTACCCAAATGCTTGCTGGACAACATTGCTGCCCCTTCCCTTCCAACAGTCAGCAGTTGCACTATTTTCCAGAAACCAGGGAGACAAAGAACAGAGTCAGGAACACCATGGAGAGAGGCAGTGGGTTTTGATGGTAGGAATATCAACCTTAGGGAATACCTTGCATGAGGTCAATACTCCTACTAGAGCCAAAAAGTGGGGGAAATTGTCTGCTGGGGAAGGTTGTTTTCTCTCCAGTAACCAAAGGAGAAATGTTCTTGGAGGCACAGAACTCTATGACTGGATGGCAGGAGGCAGTCCTGCAGCAGGCCAGTTGGTTATCTACCTATTTCAGCCTTCTCTTTCATGCATTGATGAAAGATACATAGAAAAGGTCTGCCCTGTTTTTTCCAGTTTGCTGCTGGATCCATTCTCAACCTGCCTAAGCTGCTAGTTGGCTTTGAGTTGGAGGTTCCAATATAAGGACAAATCCACAATGACTGGCAGGTTAGAGCCTGGACAAAGAAGCTGTGTAGATAGGACTATTTAGCTTGGGGAAAAAAGCAATTTCAGGGAAAGATAAATAAATATAAAATCACACATGACATGGGAAAAAGAAAGGAAATCCCTCCCCCCTCCCAGTTTTCAAAACACTGGGACCAAGAATCAAACTACTGGAAAGGGATTTGGAGTAGATCAAAGAAATCACTGCTCCATACAAGGCATAATTAACTTGTAGAATTCATTGCCATGAGATATAGTGATTTTCATCTTGAAGACCCAGTACGGCTCTGGGTTGGGAATAGCCTCCCTCCAAATCCCAGCTGCAGGAATAACTATGGGAAAAGAGTATGTTTCTACAGCACTTCCTGCTTGCAAGCACCCCAGAAGGATGAGAAGGAACACAAGGGTTGTTCACAAATGCTGCGATGAATGATAATAATTTTATCACCAATACATAAGTTCATTACTTGATTGAAAATTCAGTTTCAGTGAACTTTAGAGACAAGTAATACCTAGTGTTTGTTGCATCAACATTTTCTCTTTTTCTTTTGTCTCTTGCCAGGATGAAGGATGGCTGATGGGTGTGAAAGAGTCTGATTGGCTTCAGCACAAAGCATTTGACCAATGCCGGGGAGTTTTCCCAGAGAATTTCACTGAGCGGGTGCAGTGAGGTCTTGCAGCTCCTTAGATAGCTTCTCTTCAACAAGAAAGCAAGAGGTGTCTTCTCCCCCTCCTCCTGAGGAAGGTTTAAAAAGAATAATTGAAAAAAAAATGTTTTTTTTAAAAAGCAGCTTAAAGGTTGGATTCTTCACAGAAAACAATGTTTTAGAAGTCCACTGAATCAAAGTATTATCAAAGATATAGATAATAAAGAAAGACAGGTTGGGAAAAATCCTTTTTCTGTTTGAGTTAAATAAGGTCAATTCAGAAGGTTGTCACTGAGTGGTGGAGCGATGTTGTGTGAAATAGGATGTGCTCAGCATTGTAAGCTGTGAATCCTAGCAGTCCTGTTCTCCTGAAACTACACAATAAAGTTTTATCTTGTGGGAAGGCACGGTCAACCTGTTTTGTGGCTGAACTTGTTTCTGTGGCTCTCCCTGCAAATTATACAATCATGCTGCCCCAGGTCCAATGCCTGTCCTGTGTTTTGTGTGTGTGTTTGTGTTCTCCTTTTGAAAAAAATTAACCAAAATTCATACATTTAAATGAAAACAAAATACTTGTCAGTGCTTATTGGAAAGAAAGTAAGCCTGGTCCTTGAAGGGTATGGTTTAGGAATGACATTAGTACCTGCATTTTTGGTCCTATAAAAAACATTCATAAGGGGAAAAAGTATAAACATAGTTTCTTTATTGCTATTGTTTTCATAATAATGTGCTGAAATTGAGGGTTGGTGCTGGCTACAAATTCTGCACTGTCTGATATAAAGAGGTGATGAAGAGGAGAGATACATATAATTACACCAATGCAACTGATTCTGGCATGATGTTAGAGGTCACATAAGTGAGGTGATGGAGTAACTGCTTCATTTGTATAACTTCTAGCTGTGTTTGCATTGCTCTGCATCCTGAACAGTTATTCCCTGTGCCCTTGCTCTTAAGACGTATTTATCTTGTATTTAAAAACTATAATGGGTGAAATTCTATGGCAACCATCTCTCAGCTGTAAAAACCCAAACAATCACTAAATGGTTGCAAAAGCTTAGAGGTTTTTTTTTTAAAATGTTGTTGCTACCATATAGTGATTGTCTAGAGTTTATCTAGCTCAGATATCATAGCCTCACTCTCAAACCACTGCATTATAAAATGCCAATTTGGAAATAATACTCCTTTGTATTTAAAAAAAAAAATATCAGAAGCAACCAAATGAGAAAATCAGTGAGGCTCCTTGCTTTGCTTCCCATTACTAATTTTTCCTTTGTAATATTGATTTGCAGAGAAGAGCTAGATCTTTTCTAGGGTGCATTATGAATTTACGAAGAACAGGCAAGGGAAACTTGTATCCAAAGTTCTTTTTTGTGGTTATTGGGACCCTCAAGATCGAACTGCAAATTCACTGGGATTTTCCCAATCATAGCAGTATGATTTTCCACAAATCTTTTTGCAGAAAACAAAACATTAATGCACCTATACATTACTTGAATGACAGCTGCAGCAATGGTCAATGACTGGAAGAGCAAATATTCATTCTGTGCTATATACATACAACTGCTGAGCTCTTCAGATTTTTTATCGCTATGTTCATTTGTTTCCTTTTCCTTTTTTTAATTTAATTTTTTATTTGGCTTCAAAGGTTTTTTTCTACTACCATCTCTTGCATTGGAATGCATAAAAATTCTTACATTCGACAATCTGATAAAATGTAAGGTAGCTTTAGAAAAGCAGGATAAGCCAATTTTCACTATTGGGAAAAATCAGCCTAGGTTTCTAATGGTCTGTAGAATCACATGTTGTATGAGAGTGTAAGAAAATACAACATCTCTCGATGATAGATTCATGGGTGAGTTTTCTCCTTTAGTCAGCAACAGATCCTGGTTCAATAGTGTACCACAGCACCATCCAGAGTCATTGCACACTGAAGAGTACATGCATACAATCAGGAGAAGTGTGTGTCATTGTATTATTGCACACACAAAGCCATTCCATCTGCCATCACAGAATAACTTTAGTCTTCATAGCAAGGTTTCAAAACTCCTTATCTGACTCAGTGGAATTTCTAATTTCTTTTTGTTTTGGGGTTAGCCTTAATACATTCTAGGAATTGAGGTCCCATTATTTAAATTTCACTGCCATTTCTTAAAATTAACTTTCTGCAAAGCTGCAATTTGCTCCATGATAGATATCAGTGGGTAATGCATGTATCTCTGCACCAGTCATAATTTGCCATTAAAACTATATTTATGCATTTGTAGACAAATTTGTATTCCTAAATAAAACATATAGGGTGGTTTTAAAGGAATATCAACAAGAAATATGTTTATGGAATAAAGAAAGTCTCTGTGGAATATCTATTTTTATAAAATAAAAAGTCCTATGAAATTTGAGGAAAAAATTATCAGATAGTATCTAGCCTCTGGTACATAGAATTTTTAGCTGAACTCATATTCTCTATTCTTGATATGTATTTTGCAGACAAATGCAAGGAAGAAATGTGGCAACCTTTCTTTCTTTTAAGGAAAAAATAATTATCCAGTACTGTATTATGTTCTTATTGATTCTGTATCTGATGCTGTGATCTAGCTCCTGGCCTTTAAAATAATGATTGATAAGCTTGTAGTTCTGAGGTCTCATTCGTTTTTTCTCAGTTGCTGCGGATCTGTTTCAATTTGCTTCTGAAGAAATCTGTTCAATAAAAAGAGAATAATTCAATGGAAATATAAAAAACAACAACAATCTAACATAGCCTGCGTCTTCTACAAGGATGTAAAAGAAAACTTGGCAATGCAAATTCTATTTAATAATAATAATAATAGTAAAGTTGGAAGGGACCTTGGAGGTCATCTAGTCCAACCCCCTGCTCGGGCAGGAAACCCTACATCACAGTGCTTACATCACAGTCTTGGCAATTAACTGGCTAGATCTGTTGATTAAAATATTTAATTTACCAGAAAAATAGATTGGTCAGCAATGATCTTTTAATACGAGTGCTTATTAAACTGAATGACAAGACCTGTCTTGTATTCTTTGAATGAAAGCTATGCTAAGATGATGTATACTATAGCTCATTTGTAATTTAAAAACAAAGTGTATTTCTTGCTATAGAAATATTGGATTGAATTCAGTAGAAATCTTCTCTGGATAAAAAGCTGCCTTTTGACATTTGTTGTCCCTATCCCACCCTTTGTAATTCTCTGTGTCCATGGAAAATATGCTGTATCACAATAGGATAAAACTCTTCTTTTGAGTAGATCTTGGATTGAGGATATTTCTGATAGTAGAACAGAAGCTCTTGTTCCAACCCTTTGCTTTCAATTAGAAATTAATTGACTTGGATTACAACCCAGGACTGTATAGATCTGGATACACGATGATGAAAACATATTTGATCAATTTAATAGTTATTGTTCATATGCTTGCTTAAATTTGGCAGAGTATTTAAACATAATTACTCAAAAGTTAAGTGTGTGTATATAAGATTGTAATCTTGGCACATTCTTCAGTGTGTCAGCTATATTGGTCCAGTTTCTAAGAAGTCAAAAATCATTAGATTTTTAAATAGCATATTATATCTCCCTGAAAAAAAAGGGTATGGATGTGTTAGTTTTAATTTAGGCATGGTTTGATTCATTGTGATATAAGTCCCAAGTTTCAAAGTACAAATAACTGTTACAAAAATATCATTATAGATTTTATATGGGAAGCATCTCAAAAAATAGGATTTGCTTTCTTTTTCTGCATAGGTCACTTCACCAAATTACATACAGAAAGCTCTGCAGCTGCTAGCTAAGCAAAATCTTAAGTTCAGAAATCAAATCATTTGGACTTGAACTGAAAGTTCAATTGAACAAAATATGGAATACCAGGCATTCTATTAAGAAAGGCATCGAGATTGCTCAAGCAAAAATTCTAAGTTTAAAGCTGCATTTTCTGGCTCAACTAACTTAGCCCAAGCTCCTTGATGGAGTTCAGTGTACTGATTTCAATATAAAATTGTGTTACAGCTGTATAAAAGCACCTCCAAGGGGAACCCATCAAGTATAATACATTGTGTGAGAAGTTTGGACTACACAGATTGCAAACATGCACTAAGTTTTAATACTCCCAGAAACACAAACTTTGTACTACTAAAAACTTTAAAAACCTTGCCAAGGAACAATCTATAGACTAATGGATCTCTGTGTTACTATGTAACCAAAAATTTGAACTAGTTCTTGGTAATCCACCAGATGGATTCGTAGCTGGCTGACTGGCCATACTTAGCATGTGGTCCTCAATGGAACTGCATCTACATGGAGGGAAGTGTGTAGTGGGGTGCTCTAGGGCTCTGTTCTAGGCCCAGTACTCTTCAACATCTTCATCAATGATTTGGATGAGGGGATAGATGGGGAACTCATCAAATTTGCGGATGACACCAAGCTGGCAGGAATAGCCAACATTCCAGAAGACAGCTTAAGATACAGAAGGATCTGGACAGACTTGAACACTGGCCGCTATCTAACAAAATGAAATTCAATGGTGAAAAAAGTAAGATTCTACATTTAGGCCAAATGTACAGGTATAGTATAGGGGTACCTTGCTCAATAGTAGTAACTGTGAGAGGGATCTCGGAGTCCTAGTAGACAATCACTTAAATATGAGCCAGTAGTGTGCTGCAGCTGCCAAAAAAGCCAACACAGTGCCGGACTACATTAACAGAGGGATAGAATCAAGATCACATGAAGTATTAATACCACTTTACAATGCCTTGGTAAGGCCACAGTTGGAATACTGCATCCAGTTTTGGTCACCACGATGTAAAAAAGATGCTGAGACTCTAGAAAGAGTACAGAGAAGAGCAACAAAGACAATTAGGGGACTGGAGGCTAAAACATATAAGGAACGGTTGCTGGAATTGGGTATGTCTAGTTTAACAAAGAGAAGGATGAGGGGGGACATGACAGCAGTGTTAAATATCTCAGGGGCTGCCACAAAGAAGAGGGAATCAAGCTATTCTCCAAAGTGCCTGAAGGCAGGACGAGAAGCAACGGATGGAAACTGATCAAGGAGAGAAGCAACTTAGAACTAAGGAGAAACTTCCTGACAGTTAGAACAATTAACCAGTGGAACAACCTGCCTCCAGAAGCGGTGAATGCTCCAACATTGGAAGTTTTAAAGAAGAGACTGAACAGCCATTTGTCCAAATGGTATAGGGTTTCCTGCCTGAGCAGGGGGTTGGACTCGATGACCTCCAAGATCCCTTCCAACTTTTATTATTATGGATCATCGCACAGTCAGCCAGATGTTCAGACTGGATTTGGCATTTTGTCTACCTATCGAGTCCTTACCCAGGACCTGGGATAGGCAGATGTGGATGTTTGATGGTATTACAGATATCGTCGCAGGATGGAAGCAGTTCCTAGTAAGGCCA